GGCAGCGGAAGACATGGCGACGGAAGAAAGAGCTGGCGGGTCAGCCATCGGTTGAAGCGCCTTTTCCAGGAGAAAAACTCTTAAACGTGCCGCTCTGTTTTTCCGAGTCTGGTTGGAAAACTGCGCACAATGTTCACAAGAGTCTGTCTTGTGGGTTTCCCCAAGGCAAAAGATACAGTACTTATGGCCGTCTGGGGGAGCCAATTTACTTCCGCAGGAACGACAGCGGTTGAAAAATCCCCACTTTTTTGACTTTTTTGTCTTCTTCTTCTCCATAGACTGAGGAGAAAAAGCCAACGACAAAGGGGGGGGGCAGCGGCCCGAAGGCCTGAGGTAATTTTACCTCAGACGACGAAAAACAAAAAGACTCCTTTTTTTTTTTGAAAAACAGAAAAAGGAAACGAAACTGAAGAAAAACTAAGGCGAAAAACGGAGAGCTAGTCACTAAAAGTTATCAAAAGGCAGCGATCCGGCCAGACCTCTCGAAGACAGGTCTGCTCAGCGCGGCGGAAAGGAAAGAACTGGCGGGATGTCCGTGCCTGCCCTTCTGAGCATGCTCACTGGGGCTCCTGGGCATGCTCAGTTGGGCCAGGCACGAAAATCCTTCTAGAAGAGCTTGCTGGGGGCCGGCAGATCCAGCGCAGGCGCACTAGATCCCATTGGTGTGAAGCACAGAGACCACGAAGAAGATCTGCCTTTTATTTTTTTCCCTGCTTTTGGGGAAATTCACTGCTAGTGCACCGGTGCAGGGGGCAGGGATTCCATCTGTGTGCACACTGAGAGGGCAGCAAGGGCAGCGGGACAGCAAGACGAATCCTCACTGGAGGTGGACTCCTTTTTAGCACAGGCCAGTATCAGAAAGGCCCTCCCCTCAACAGAACCTCTCCCTTGCCTCCACCTGCCCAGCCCCACTGAATCACCAGCCAGGCTTCCAATACTGCACATATATATCTGTATCGCCGAATCCCCCCCCCCCCAAAAAAGATGACTTACATGTCTGTATCCCCGAAACCCCCCCCCCCGCAACAAAGCTGATCTTCTGCTTGAGGGAGGGGAACTCTGTACCACAAGCATGAGTGAGTGGGCCTGGACTTGGGGGGGGGGTGGCCAAACAGATACATTTCTGTTCCTCAGCTCTGTTGGCTTGTGGCCCATGGTCCTGGTCTTAATATAAGTGGGTGCATAACATCTGGCTTCTCTTCCTTTTTCATGATGGCACAAGGCATCCTACCCCATGCTGCAGCCATGGGGAGAGGGGGTAAAGGCGAGACCCAGGTGAGGAAAGGCTGAAGACTACAGATCGTGTATGTAGGTCATTAACTCTGCAAGCAATCCTGGGAGAGTGGTGTAGCAGTAAACTGACACAGTAATCTTAGACCTGTTGAAAAACAAACGGTAGAAAGGCAACGAGGACATGAGGTGATCTGCTGTGTAGAGGCGCTGTAATCAGGGCTTTTTTTGTAGAAAAAGACATACCAAGATTAATCACTGTCACCACGCACAAGAACTCACTCCTGGATCTCAATAGAGGGAGAGAAGTCAAGTGAGTTAAATTAGGTGAACAAAAGCAAGCGTCGCATCTCAGAAACAAAACTTCTTGGCTCCTGCAACTATTCAGAACAATTAATTCAGGCATTAATCACATATATAACCCTGACCTGGATAGCCCAGGCTGGCCCAATCTTGGAAGCTAAGCAGATTCGGCCCTGCCTAGTATTTGCATGGGAAATCTCCAAGGAATACCAGGGTCATTACGTGGAGGCAGGCAATGGCAAACCACCTCTGAATACCTCTTGCCTTGAAAATCCTATGGGGTTGCCATACATTGGCTGAGACTTGTTGGCAAAAAAAAAATCACATACATGGTTGGGTTGTGAGCAAACTTCGCATTTTGCT